AAAGCGGAGCTTCGTCAGGGGAGATGCCCACCATGCCCAGCGTGATGAGGGTCCTGAAGGAAAAGAACCTTCTGTTCCCAAGGACAAAGGTGGTTTCTGACTCTCAGAGGTTCTTGGGTTGGGGCGGGGTGGGCAAGTTCCATACCTTCAGATCTCACCTGGCCTGGCCTACATCCCAGGAGCCACAGAAAGGGAGGCACTAGCTTAAAGTACACAACTCAAGGTTGCCCTAAGTCCAAGGACCGGGGGCTGGGCTTGTTCACAGCTGCCGTGGAAGGGAAGGAACCAAATTCATTCTACGTGAATGAATCACAACCCATTTTGTCAGCTCTGTCCCAGAGCTGAGAGGGGTATGGCCTGAGTTCCAGGATGGGGCAGCTAGCAGGCCTGTGACATAACACTAATTTTATTAAAATTTGAGGCATATTCTCACCACGTTGCCCAGTGTGGACTTGAGCCCAAGTTTGAACTCTCCTCCTTCCTTAGCTTCCTGAGTAGGTGGACTGGGCCGACAAACATTGTTAATGAAGGTTACCACCTCTCAAATCCACCTCAAGGCCCAGTTCACCCTCCGTGAAGCTTTCCTTATGTCAACTTTGCAAAGCTTTCTTCTGCCTCTCACGTTACATGACATCCACTATCGCCCACACACTTGTTCTGATCACCGAAGGACTCTTACTAATATTAGATTTGAATCATTTTTATCAAACCCAAGAGACCCCACCAGCAGCAAGAAGCATCACACACTATTTCTTTGGACACACAACTTGTATTTGGCACAAGACTCACGTGACCACATCTGCATTCTTTATACATATAAAGTAATATGTAAAGTCAGTTCCTTCATACACAGTCAAATTCTTCCAAGTGCCCTCTTCACTTGGTCATCCATGTTCAGGTTTTTCAAAACAGTATTGTCTGTACTTTGTGCTCTGCTCTTTAAATTTTATCAATAATTTTATGTTTGTGGGATACGACGTGCAGCCTTGACAGGGGCATGGTGTAGAATGAACTTATCAGGCTAATACACACATCTGCAGCCTCTCCTACTTCTCATCTCTTCATGATGAAGAGGGTTAAGATCTACTGCAGTGCTCCTTACGAGTGCTCCCCACCACTGCTTGGGATTCAGGATTCACTTCCAAGCGCCTTTTGTGAGTCTGATGCCTGTGCTTTCTGGATTTAACCAGCAGGTGTCAACAAAAGCTTTCGGGCAACAATCAGAACTAATTACCATCTTCATTCACTATGTTGGCTAATTGGAATCACTGCCAGGTTTCCACAAGGGCTGCAGGTGAGAAAACGACACAACAGCTGCTACTTGACTACAAGGATCAAAGACAATGTGGGACAGATAAACACAGTGGAGCACTATTCAGCCACTAAGAAGACAGAGTTGTGTCATTCACAGGAAAATAGGTAGGGCTAGAGATCATCGTGTTAAGGGAAAGAAGCCAGGCTCAGAAAGACAAGCATGTTTTCTCTTATAATGGAATCTGGACGAGATAACCAGCAAGAAGGAGGACAGGACAAAGACACCAGTAAGGTGGTAAATAAGACCAAAGTCCATGAGACTCATTACTTTCTACAATGACTGTATGGTAACGAAGGGAAAGATGCTACATACTGTTAGAGACGTTCAAACATGGAAGAGGTTTTGTGTGTCTATGTGTGTATGTGTGTGCATGTGTTCTACTGTGCATATAGATACACATGCACATGTATGGGCATGCATGTGGAGGCCAGGTGTCAACCCTGGAGGTCACTCTTCAAGTACCAGCCACTTAGATTTTTGAGACAGGGCAGCTCAATGGCCGAGGAGTCCCAGTTAGACTAGGCTGCAGGTGCTTGAAGACCAAGTGCACCAATGCACTGTTCTTTCTCGATGGAGTAGTCAGCTCCAGTCAGAGCACGTTTTCTTTCTTATGTGGTGTATTTGTACACACACTTGTCTGTGCATGTGTGCATACATGGAGGCTAGATGTCAATGCTGGGTGACTTCTTCTATTGCTCACCTTCTTTTCTTTTAAGAAAGTGTCTCTCACTGAAGCCAGAGCTCACTGGTTGGGCTAGACAGGCTGGCCATGGAGTTCCAGGAATCTTCTGGTCACTACCTCCCCAGTGCTGGGGTACATGTGCACCACCACACCTGACTTCCTTCTGTGGGTTCTGAGGACTGACCTTGACCTCATGCTTGCCAGGCAAGCACATTACTATCGCCCCAGCCCACTGTGTATTTGCACTCTTGGACCACAAGTCCCAGATGATAAATTACCCAGTCCCTTTTCAGTGAACCTTGGTTTCTTGACATTTTTAACCAGCAGAACAGGATATAAAACATCTCTGCATAGCTGTACACTGAGGAAGAAAATGCCCAGAAGTAAAACTGCCCAAAAGAAGAACCACGTTTGACCTCTCTTTGGTGACTATAAACAGCTTCCGGGTGGGCTGCATCCACCATGCTCCCCGCAACAGGGCTCACACGTGGAGTCTGTTTCTTCACACCCTTGGCGACAGCCTGGGTTCTGTGGAACTTCTTCACCTCTGCCCAACCAGTCGAGTGGGAAGTGGCCTATGGCTGTTCAGCTTTAATTCTTTAACTCTGATGGAGACAGGACCTTTGACACATGAGACATCATACCTGCCTTTCTGGGAGCTGCCTACCTGTGTCCTGTGTCTACTTCCTGAGCTAGCCTGCCTTTTGCCTTTTGTCACTGGCATTCTGTGCTGCTGTCACAGAATAGCACACACAGAATAATTTATAATGAACAGAAAAGTGGTCAGCTATGGTTTGGAGGCTGTTGAGCCCAAAATCAAATGGTGGCATCTGGTGAGGACCACCATACCTACCTGACAGTCATCTGTCATCCAGGCATGAGAGGCATTTTCACTGGGTGATATCTGAACCTTTTAGTTTGGTTTTATTTAAATTTTTATCTTTGCTACATAGGATTATTTTTTTGAGCCCGCAGAGTTCCACCTGCCTCTCTCTCCCCAGTGCTGGGATTAAAGGCGTGCGCCACCATGCTTGGCTTGGTCTACATAGGGAATAAAGTTCTCAAATATTTGTCTTTCGTGTTATGGATTTATTATTTGGTTTTGTATAAAAAGATTTTCCTCAGGTAGGAGTGACAGATGGCTCAGTGGTTAAGAGCACTGGTTGCTTTCCCAGAGGACCCGAGTTCCATTCCCAGGACCCACATGATGACTCACAAAAGGATCTGAATCCCTTTCTGGCCATGGGCACAACCTAGAATCAGCTGGGAAGAGAGTCTTACTGAAGAATCATCTAGATCAGGTTAGCCTATGGGATGTCTGTGGGAGCTGTGTTGACTACTGCTATAGGGAAGATCCAGTACACTGTGGGCATCACCATTCCCTAGGCATGGCATCCTAAACAGTATAAAAGGAGAGAGCTAGTTGACAGCAAGCTGGAAGGTGTTTATTCTCTCTTTGCTCTTAATTATAGGTGGGATGTGACTGCTTGAGTTCCTGCCTTAACTTCCCCCTGATGATGGTTTGTTGTTGTTGTTGTTGTTGTTTTGGTTTTTCAAGGCAGGGTTTCTCTGTATTGTTTGGGTACCTGTCCTGGATCTTGCTCTGTAGATCCAGGCTGGCCTCGAACACATAGAGATCTGCCTGACTCTGCCTCCTGAGTGCTGGGATTAAAGGTGTGCGTCACCGCCACCCGGCTCCATGATGGGTTTTAATTTGAAATTGTAAGGTGAATAAACCATTTCTTCCCTAAGTTGTTTTTGTCAGGATATTTTATCAGAGTAGTTTCATATTTTGAAGTTTTAACTCTTTTTAACAAGTTTCAATCTGAGAGCTGGGAACATGGCTCAGTCAGTAAAGTTATTATTGCAGAAACACTGAGGACCTGAGTTCAGTGCCCAGAAACCACATAAAAAAGCTAGGCATGGTGACAAGTGTGTGTAATCCCAGTGCCGGGGAGGCAGAGTCCAGGGGCTCCTGGCCAGCTAGGCTAGCAATTAGCCAGGCTAGACTAATGATGAGCCCCCAGCCTCAAAAACAAGTTAGATGGCTCCTACAGCCTGATACCAAGGTTGACCACTGACCTCACACACATGTGTGCACATACATGTATATGCATATACACAATTTAAATCTGGCTGAAATAATTTCTGTTTGTTTGTTTGTTTGAGACAGGGTTTCTCTGAGTAGCTTTGGAGCCTATCCTGGAACTCGCTTTGTAGACCAGGCTGGCCTCGAACTCACAGAGCTCTGCCTGCCTCTGCCTCCATAATTGTTTTAATATAAGAAATATTTGCTCATTTGCACTATTTTTAAAGTATTTAATTAATAACGTAGTAACTCAATTGACTTAACAACCAAACTTTGTCACATCCTAAATTTTCATATGGATTCTCTTTTGGTTCTTAAACTTATTCCTGCATCAGAATGGGTTAAATTATAATAGTTCTAGAATAGATTTTAAAAACACATACTTAAAATAACATTTCCATGTATGTAAATGCCACCTCAAGTGTGTAATAAACTTGATATTAGTTAAGTGATTTTTAGAGTGGTTATTTCTGAACCAATTCATGAAACATGGACTGCACTTACAGTTGAATTATTTGAAGTAAAATCGCAAATAGCTTAAGGATGTGAATGCTGCAGTGGTTTTGCTCAGAACAGCAAAAGAGTGTGTTCAAAATACAAAGGCCTGCGTCAAAGATGGATGGGCCACATTTCTTACATATGCTGGAGGCAATTTCCACACACAATAAAGTGGAAGGGCCACGAGAATAACATTTCCAGTGGTAGGTCTCTAATTTCAAACACTTTTTCGGCAAAGAATAGTTGAAATGAGGGCCTTTCTATCAAAATGTCTCAAAAAAAAATTTCAAAGCATGAAAACGCTGAACAAAGATACTTATCTTAAGCAAGTGTCTGTAAGAAACGCAAGGAAGCATGGGTAGTACAAGCTCACTGTAAAACAGGAAACACGCAGACCGTGACAGAATGAACGCAGCACCGGGAAAAGAACACGACAGAAGAGACCCCCAGAGGAAAGCAGAGTCCTCAGAGGCAAATGCAGTGTAGCCGCAAATAAGGACCTGGCTAATTATCTGTCAAACCACTGTCACACCAAGAGCAAAGGAATCCTCCAGAAATCCGGCTCTGGCGTGGTGAGCTTTGGCAGAGAGGAAATTAACTGTAAAGCCAGGGGCGGAGGGCGGGGGCAGGGGCATACTGCAGTAACCATTTCTACTCCTCGCTGTCTCTGTCCCTGCTGCAGCGAACTCCAGAGGAGCGACAGGCAGAAGGCAGCCAATGAAAGACGATAATCTAAGGACCATCGGGTGTGGTGGTACACAACAGCAATCCCAGCACGCTAGAGATGGAGGCAGGAGGATGGGGAGAGGAAGGCTAGAATCTGTTCGGAGCCATGGCCTCTCCCAGCCTTAGCAACAGTGACTGCAACAGACATGCATAGATGGAATTCTTCTAAAAGCAGCTGCGATTAAAAATGCTAACAGCTAAACCTTCTGTCAAAGAGGAGGATGAAGGGTCTGAGCGATGCCAAGGGCAGGGTCCAATGATCTAATCACCACCCAATGATAGCCACCACTGGCAACAGCAAGAATTCCCCTAGCTTCCAAAGGTGACTCTATTTTCTTTCTAAGTGTCTTGGTCAAAGATTCATCCATATTCCATTTATTTAAGGTCATAACAAGTAAAGATAAAAAATATTGACATTTGGTTTTGACTGGTTAAAGTCTTCTGTGTGTGTCTGTATTAAAGTTGTGTTTTAAAAAGGAAACTTTTTTCTAGTCAATTTAAACATTATTTTCATTAAAAAAATTATTTTGTTAGTAGGGTGTGGTAGCCTGTACCTATAACCCCAGATCTAGAGAGGCTGAGAGGAAAGCATCACTCCATGTTCAAAGACAACCTGCTCCACATTGTAAGTTCTAGGTTAGCCTGGGCTACAAAAAGAGACCCTGTCTCAAGAAATAAACCCAAACAAACAAAACACAGAATTCATGTTCCTCATACAAAATTTTGAAAATACAGTGTCAGGTTTCAAACCTGAGACAAAGGGTTAAGGTACTTATTTAACATATCGAAGGGGACCTGGCCAGCTAGGTTCTCTCTGCATCCCTCAGCCTCTTCCTGTTACAGGGCCCTCCTGGCTGGCATACTTCGCCCCCATCCTGAACTCTCCAGCCCAGGGGCTGGACTGCTCTTCCCTAAATAATGTAACCACTGTGGTTATCAGCACTCTGTACCTACGGGCCTCCTGGCTGCTGTACCTGGTCCCCCCCCCCCTTTCCCATTCCCTCCCCACTCTCCTCACATGGCACAGCTCAGTCTGGCCACGTCCATTTTAGACTCTCCCAGATCTTAGATGCCTCTGCCTCTGCTCTCCTACATATCTATAATAAATTTTCTTCTCCACTATACTAGGAGCAGTCATGTCCTTTCCTTTCCTTTTTCTTTCTTTTTGTTCGTTCATCTCATGCTGAAACCTGGGAACAGTCATGTTCCTTTTCTTTTCTTTTCTTTTCTTTTCTTTTCTTTTCATTCATACAGAAAGTGTAAGAAAATAAAAATCATCCACAAGCAATCATCTAGACATAGCAACCCTCAATCTCTTCCACTTTTGTTTGCAAGATAATTTACCAATATTACAAGTATCACCTTCCAAAGAATTTAAAGAAAACAGAGATGTGTTTGTTTAATATAGTATTAAAAGTTCTAAGCAATTTTTACAATAAAATATCAAAACTATATACACAGATGATTCTTTTATTTATAAAAAGATATTTAAGAGAATCTGTGTACAAGATCTTGAAATTTAAAGAGTGGCCAATATCAAACTGACTTTGAAAAAGTAATACATCCCTATTCACTATCATCAAATAGAAATTACAACATTTCATTCATAGTAATACATTCATTCACAGTTATACCTAGGAATACAAGTGCGCAGGAAAGAGTTAACAGAAGACCCGAGACTGCTATTCTTAGGAAGGTATGCACTGGGGAACTCAGCTGATTGCTGCTCTCATATAAACTTTCCCCGATGACAAGAGTGCCTTGTTAATGTGACACCATTTGTACTATGGGGTTTGTGCTGATACCTGCTAACTGCAGAAGAGTCTGGAAAACTCTGGTACATGATAGGCATATGGTGTCCACACACAGGCTCTAATGAGATTTCTGGGAGATAATACTCTGCAGGAGTTGTCACAACTTGTTGCTGGGAGAATTAAGTGTGCTCCTTGTGACTCCATGTTGTAACTCTACTCTGCAGAGAGGCTCATTAAAAGGATGTTCTGAACAGAGGTGAAACATTCCATCCTGCAGGGAAGCTATTAAGCTCAAGATGTGAACAACTCAAGGGCCTCAGGAAGTCCCCCAAACTGACCAGATGCATTAGGTTCCTCTTTCCCCAAGCATATACACTGTCAAGGCTGCCAAGGAGCACTCTCAGCAAAGTTCCTAGGAGAGACTCAGACAAGATGAACCAGCCAAGCCACCTGGAGAAAGCAGACACCAGTCCAGCTGCCTAAGAGAAGCAGAGACCAGCAGAGCTACTGGAAAAGTCCAGATCACTCCCACTGCCTGAAAAGGACAGGTCTCCAACCTGTTGAGCTGCCTGCCTGCGGCTGGCAGTGGGCTCCAGGTTCCCAGCTTTATGAGCTGCCACCCATGCTGGGGTGGGCCTTGGCGATGCAACCGTCTCTGAGTCATTTCTGCTCCTGTAAG